CTGCACCATTGCACTCCAGCCTGGGTGACAAGGGTGAAACTAGGTCTCAAAAAAAAAAAAAAAATTAAAAATCATGCTTCTTAAGGAATTCTTTGCTTAAGAAGAAGGGGAAAGAGGGACAAGAAATACAAATGGATATTGCCTATTAAAACCTGTAAGAGTTACCCAAATCCATAATTCTAAATTAATTGATTAGAAAACAAAGAAAAATGAAGATCAATAAGTAATCTTTCTCCTCCTCCCCCTTTTTTTTGAGACCGGTTTTTGCTCTGTCACCCTGGCTGTAATGCAGTGACATGATTATAGCTCACTGCAGCCTCAAACTCCTGGAGTCAACTGATCTTCCCACCTCAGCCTCCCGAGTAGCTTTTTAAAAATTATCTTTTGCAGAGGTGGGGATCTTGCTATGTTGTGCAAGCTAGTCTCAAACTGCCGGCCTCAAGCAGTCCTCCTGCCTCACCTCCCAAAGTGCTGGGATTACTCGTGTGAGACACCACACCTAGCATAATTAGTCTTTCAATTCAAGAAGCTAGGGAAAAAACAAAAAATAAATAACAATAAAGAAGAAGGAGGAGAGAGAGAGGAGGAGGAGAATGAACAAAGCAGGAAGAAGGAGTTAATAGAGAGATAGCCAGATTTAATGAAACAGGAAGTAGCGACAACAAAGTAATGGATGATCGGGAAAACCAAAAGTTGTTTCTTTGAATTAATAATGTAATTGCTAACATTTTTTGAGTATTTAATAATACAGTTTATTAATGTATTAGCCATAATATAATAACTCTTAATCCTCACATGAATCCCCTGAAGTAGGCCTTTTTTTTTTTTTTTTTTTTTTGAGACAGAGTTTCACTCTTGTTGTCCAGGCTGGAGTCCAGTGGCTCAATCTTGGCTTACTGCAACCTCTGCCTCCCGGGTTCAAGCAATTCTCCTGCCTCATCCTCTCGAGTAGCTGAGATTACAGGCATGCGCCACAATGCCTGGCTAATTTTGCATTTTTAGTAGAGACAGGGTTTCTCCATGTTGGTCAGGCTGGTCTTGAACTCCTGACCACAGATGACCCACCCACCTTGGCCTCCCAAAGTGCTGGGATTACAGGCATGAGCCACCACACCCAGCAGTAGATTCCACTATTACACCTTTAGCAGATTAGTAAATTCAGGCACAAAGAGGTTAAGTCATTTGCCCAAGGTAACATGGTAAATGTCAGACTTAGGATTTGACTACAGCAGTCTGAGTGTAGTCTATGCTTTATATCAATACTATATATCAACAAAGTATACAAATATACTACTAAAGCTACTATCTTTGAAGTGAATAAGTAAGAAAAAAGAACCTGGGCATGGTGGCTTATGCCTGTGATCTCAGCACTTTGGGAGGCCAAGGTGGGAGGATCCCTTGGGCTCAGAGGTTTGAGACCAGACTGGGCAATATAATGGGACCCCATCTCTACTAAAAATTTAAAAATTAACCAGGTGGGGCCAGATATGGTGTCTCACACATGCAATCCCAGCACTTTGGGAGGCTGAGGTGGTCGGATCACCTGAGGTCAGGAGTTCCAGACCTGCCTGGCCAACACAGTGAAACCCCGTCTCTACTAAAAATACAAAAAGTAGCCGCACATGGTGGTGGCTGTCTGTAATTCCAGCTACTTGGGAGGCTGAGGCAGGAGAATCACACGAACCCGGGAGGCAGAGGTGGCAGTGAGCTGAGATCGTGCCACAGCACTCCAGCCTGGGCGACAGAGTGACACTGTCTCAACAACAACAGCAACAACAAAGGAAATAAAGGTCCCTTAAAGAAATGGAAAGGTCGCGTGCAGTGGCTCACACCTGTAATCTCAGCTACTCCAGAGGCTGAGGCAGAGAACTGCTTGAACCCAGGAGGCAGAGGTTGCTGTGAGCCGAGATCGTGCCACTGCATTCAGCCTGGTCAACAGAGTGGGACTCTAACTCAAAAAAAAAAAACCCGCAAATCCAAAATCCTCCAAAATCAGAAACTTTGAGCACTGAAAAAAAAAAAAAAAAAAAAATCAAAAGCAAAACCAAAAAAGAAATGGAAAAGAGTGATATATTACAACTATACCCAGTAATTAGTTATGGGAGTAGAGAGAGATTGAGGTGTCAGAGATGGTTCTGGAAACTTCTAGACAGTGAGCATGGATGAAAAGCAGATGTTAGTTAATTCAGGTGGAGGACTAGAAGTGTTGTCGGTATTTGTGCTACACAAGCTTCGTGAGATGGTTAGCAATTCAGTGGTAGAGATATACATTTGGATTCAACAGTTTGAACAAATGCTAACTAACTGCTCTGTCTACTTCACAAAAGGCATGCATAAAGAGCTACTGTTCATCCTTCAAGGTACAAGCAAAGCTGTCATTGTTTTACCCCCAGTTCACAATGGATATATTTTTGGGTGAAAGGATACACACACA